GGAATTTAGCGAAAATATTTGTCTACAAAATGTAGTTTCTTTAGGTTTAGTCCAGTTTATGATGGAGTGTTTTTAAATTACTTATTTATAATCTCTACTGCAACCGCTTCAGGGGAGGCCAGTTACTGAGATCCACTTGGTAAGGAAGCTATGGACTGCTCTAGCTAGTATGTACAAATCAAGAGTAAATCTCACTAGCCCAGAGGGACTGTGCCCCAGGCTACCACTGTAATGTTAAAATAAATCCCCAATTTATACGGTGTAGCCTCATTACAGACTTGATAGCATATCTTGTATTCCGTTGCAGCATGCATTTTCAACTGCCGTGGGTTGCTTGTATTTTTTTCTTCCCTGTGACTTTTGCTTCCTTTCCAGTCGTGAATCTAGCATCTCATTGCTTCTGTGAACATTTCATCAAATGAAATGCTTAGTATTATATAACCCAGCAGCCCTGGAAGGGCCTTGGCAACAAAAACATTTCTGACAGTACTTCACGTCTGACCCAAGTGCCTCACCTTTGGCTTGGGGAAAGGGAGAGTTCTACTGGTTGGTTATTTGGGGTTGGGAATACTACCCGTGGAGCTGAAAGGCCTGTATCTGTTGAAATTACACTTGATTGTTTATTTGTTCATTTGATCTGAATAGCTTTTCCTTTTGAAATCAAGGGAATAACTGTGCCCCCAGAAAATATATAATCAACATAGTATAATGAGCTTGTGTGTGTGTTTTGTGGATGTGTTGAATCGGAACTGCTCTTCTATGTATCATAGGCCCTATAAGGCTAACGAAGACATCCCTTTAGCTGAGGTTTTGGAGCTGAAGAATGAGTTCTATCTTCATTGCTGCCATGAAGTTCTGAATGGCTATGCTTTACAGCAGGGATCAACAACCTTTGGCATGCGGCCTGGCAGGGAAATCTGCTGGCGGCCCAGGGCAGTTTGTTTACCTGCAGCGTCCGCAGATTCGGTTAATCGCGGCTCCCACTGACCGTGGTTCGCCTTTCCAGGCCAATGGCGGCTGCGGGAAGCGGTGCGGGCCGAGGGATGTGATGGCTGCCGCTTCCTGCAGCCCCCATTGGCCTGGAAAGGCGAACCGCAGCCAGTGGGAGTTGCGATCGGCCGAACCTGCAGACGCTGCAGGTAAACAAACCGTCCTGGCCTGCCAGCGGATTTCCCTGATGGGCCGCGTGCCAGAGGTTGCCGATCCCTGCTCTACAGTATAATAATAATACCTAGCTCTCGTATAGTGCTTTTAAACAGCACATCTCAAATTGCTTTACAAATGAAGGTCAGTATTATTATCCCTATTATACAGATGGGGAAACAGAGGCACAGAATGATGAAGTGACTTGCCCAGGGTCACCTAGGAGGCCAGTGACAGAGCCAGGAATAGAATCCAGGTCTCCTGAGTTACAGCACAGTGCTCTATGCAGTTTCGTACGTTGATATGGATTTGTACCCGGAGGATCATAGAATGTCAGTTTTACATAGCATGGGCTTGATTCTTCTTCCATTGAAGTCACTGAGATTCTTCTTCATTGACTGAGAATTGGATTGGACCCCTACTTTTCCAGTGTTACATTTGTTGCATTTCTGAAACAAGATACTGGTTGCCCTGGTGGCCTGGTAAGAGCAATCAGCTGGAAGTGTGCCTGGTATCAAAATAAATTGATTTATTTATTTATTCCTGCAGAATAGTGAAACATTAAAAAACCTTTGGAAAAACTTCTGTTTCATGTGTATTAAAATTGTGACTTAAAAAATGCCAAAAGAAAGGTGGTGGAGCCTTGTTGTTCCATGAAACACTGTTAGATTTTGTAAAACATATGTCTGACACTTCTTGCAAAGCAAGAAATATTCGGGGTGGGATGAAAGAGTGGCACAAAGCTCTGATGAAAAATAGAAATGAAAATGAGATGAGACAGACATTTATGTATCAAATTTATGTTGCCAAATGCATAGACATGGGAAGCATCTGGCTAACTAAGTAATCAGAGCTTCAGGCCAAACTGTATTCTGGGGCTCACAAACATCATTTTGTGACTTGATAGCTCTGAAAAGGACCTTTTCTCTTTCAGTCCTTAAAGCAGGCTGCTTAACTTTCGATTAAAAAAAAAAATTAAAGCTTTTCCAATGACTCAGTTTGCTGTTTCTGTTATTTTGGGGAAAAAGAAGGATGCCTTCAGATAGAAACCAACCATCTCATCTCAAGGAGAGGTCTTATAGTGAGATACAAAGTTGTTTCATTGGCTTGAAAAAAGGAATGGTGGTGAGGGGAATAAGTGGTGAATGCCCTTGTGTCGTTTTCATTTTGTCTTCTTTTAAAAAGTCCAGTGTTCAAGCGGGATATCTAGGAGGTAGGAAATGCTCAGAGAATCTTGAGCCATACGTTAGCGGAGAGAGAAACCTTTCTGTTATTTTACTCTGACCTGTAAAGTGCATCTTACTTCATTAATTCCTAGTAATATAGGCCTACTACTGCAGCCTTTATTTATATGAGTGAGGACTGCAGGGCTGTGGCCATAGTATTGTCATGATTTGTATACAATAATGACTGGAGCACAGAGGTGCCCCTGGGGATTAATAATTAACTGGGAGAGTTGATTTCTGAGGATACTAATCCTGAGGCTGTCATTAAATTCTTGGAAAATGCTCCATCCACATTGCACATTGAGTGGTGTTATAATGCTTGAGTGACTTTAAATGCATGAGACATGTAATTATGCCTTAGAAATGCATTGCAGATTGCTTGTTGTTGTTATTAGAAAATGTAATTTTCAAATTAAAAATAAGGCAGATAGACTTGTGCATTTATTATGCATTATGAGCATAGGTGTGCTCTTGGTATGAAGTGAGACATCCATTTGTGCCTGTTGTTCTAAAGCCATTTAATAATTTTTTTATAGAAAAAAGCAAAGTCATAGTTTACTATTTTCCTCTTGGCAGCCTCCAAAATATTTTTTGTAGTGCTGCAGGAAGAAAATCCTCCTATTGTTCAATGCATGGTCAGTAATCAATAATCCAGTTATTAAACATGTCCTGAACTGTCAGGAATGCCTAGACTGAGCTTGCATTGCTGAAATCTGGTTAGGTGACACTGCTCGCTAAGTCCTATCTCAGCAGATGCATCACAGATTCAGTTGTTGGGATTTTCAGAAGCACTCACAGTTGTCCTAACTCTGCTTCTATTGAAGTTGGGGAAATTTTCAAAGGCACAAAGGGCCATTAGGTGTCACCCATCTACTAATGAAAGTCATTTGTTCTTTGAAAATCTTCACCATTAGTGGTAAAACTTCAGTGGGGGCAGAGTGAGGCCAGTACTGTGTACTTTTGAAAATGCAACCTAGAAGTCAGAGTAGCCATACTATTCTAATCTAACCTTCAGTGCCAGAGAAGTCCTCCAAGAGAACCAACCTTGTTTAAATGCATCCACTTAATCTTTGCACTCAGGAACAAGACCAATACTGGCATCCTACTGACGGTTGTCTACCAAACAGCAAGTGTTTCCTAGTGTAATTTCCCACATCCAATGGGTTTTCAGGAATGCTTTGGAAAACCAAACCAGGAACATGCCAGTGCAGAGGGTGATCTGCACTCTGCCCTGTAAGCTATCTTGGAGGGATCCCAATAAGCACTCATGCATGGCTCAAATGAGAGGATTCTTTACTAGGGCTGCCAAGAAGGAAAGGATGCAAATAAACTGGTACAACAGCTTAGTTGCATACAGACAAGGATGAACATAGTAATTCCCAATTTAGCCTTAGGTGGGTGTCCAATACAGGGTAGAATGCTAATCTTGTCCCATAGGGTTCCTCAAGCATAATACCTGTGGTGTCTCTTCTAGTCTGTTCCTTTATGAGGGGGCTTGTAGATTGCTGTGGCCAGATCACAATCCCTGAGATTATGTCACTGGGGCCCCTCCACATTGTACCCCTGTTATCCAGTTATAGCATTTGCCTCCTGCCTCCTTCCTGGCAGCTGCTGCAGTGTGGGTGACAATAGGCTACAAGCCCACCCCAGAATCTCTTGTCTGTATGTCCTAGGACCTAGACAGGCAGAGCTAACAGAAACATTGTCCATAAAGGTGCTTTAGTTCCCCAATCCTGTTGTCCTGGGAGACTTCAAACACCCACAGTAGCAATGACTCTGACGAAGAAACCTCAGAGCCGTATTTCTTCTCTAGCCACCATGGGCTGATTTGTTTACCAGCCGCGTCTGCAGGTTCGCCGCTCCAGGCCAATGCAGCCCTAGTTTGAGAACCACTGACTTAGTACATTGCATGGGGGATGGTCTTCTGGGTGCAGGGAGCAGCATGAGAAATGGCCAGTGGGATTTTGTGAATGCAGCTTCCACAGTTGTGCATGCAAATGTGTTAGATTGTTGAAAGTAGACATATAGTTGCTGGAGTGTGTTCTGGTGTTGAGGAGCAGGAGTCACATTCTGGTGTAAATCTGACGTAACTCTGTTGAATGCAGTTACTACGGATTTTACTGGTATTACAGAAGATTCTGGTTCTGTCTGCACTGGTGTTTATTTGTCAAGTGAGGGCACGTGCACAAGTGTGTGCCATTTTGCCAACCCGAGAACAAGTACCCCAAAGCATTTAAATGAAGAACAAAGTAGCAACCTTCATTAGGAACTGGGCTTTTGTCTTTCTGTTTTTCATTCATTGTGTTATTTTATCTAGTTTTCTGTACAGCATATGAGACTGCATGACAGCAGTGAGTACTTGAAGAACAAGGGTAAAGGGGACTTACTGTGTTTTACATATACAAAATGTTTATTCAATTTTATGAAAAAGACCACACAATACATGCCATAAAACACATGCATGTATCTCAAGCTCCAAGTATGAATGGAAAATGACATTGAATAGACAAAAGAAGCAGTTATAGTAATAATGCTTGTTCCAACAAGATACAATGTGCATTTGTTATGCATCTTTCTTTTTTCTTGGAGGGTGTATTATGTTTTCTAATGCACTATGATTTCTCCCTGCAGAAGAGGTGAAAATGAAAAGCCAAGTATCTGAAATGGATTCCATAGAAAATACATTTTCAATGCTTGAGTTGTCAAACAGAAATAAACAGAATGTCTCTCCTGTAAGAAACAAAGAGCCATCAGTGAATCTCTCATCACAGACTGTGGATGAAGACCAGGTAACGAGACTGGCATCAGTCCACAGAGGCAAACATTAAATTAAAGAGAAGACAGGCAAAAATATTCATGCATGGAGAGGAAGAGGCTCTCTTCTGGCTCTAAAGGCCCTTAGAGATTGAAGCAGAGGAGATGCACTGGCTGAGCGGTAATGACTGAAGGCAGTATCTGATCTGAAGCAGATTCCGTAGAATCCTATGTAAGGTGTGGGGCACTTGAGGGGAACACACCAGCCATTTGCTCTACCTGTAGTGCAGCTGTAGTATACAGGGATGGCCAGGCTCCTGCAGGGATCATAGTCGTGTGTGAATGAAACTCAGATAGGAGTTTTAAAAGAATCACAGTCTTTCAGACCCTTGTATAATATTACTGATAACAGAAACTTTGTGCTGTTTCTCTCACCAAGAATATGGTTCCATCTTTGGATAAACTGCCTTTCGGTCTCTTGTCTTAGCCACTTGGGAACTGGCTTTGTGCCTTGTAAAGCACGATGAGACCTCCACTATCTCTTAGATAATAGACTATCCTAATATTTATCTTTGTTGCTATAGAACAAAAGTTTCAGGCATGATTGCATGTTTTTGTCACATTAGTAGTTTAAGAAACAAATCCAGTAATAACTGGATGCACTGGAAACATTGCTACAGTAATAGCACAGAGCATTCGTAATGCAATGAATTGGCTGCTGTAACCTTTACACCTGCCTTTGGGAAAAGAACAGAGAGAACGACTGCCATTGAAAACATTGCTTCTGTTCTAAACACTGCTGTTGTGCTTATTTTGATTGCTCATTGTGTTTTTCCATTGGACCTAGTTTGGATATATTTAAGATGATATACCCTATCCTCTGTTCAGAAACCATTTCATTCCCTCTTTTTTTAATTCCACATACATTTTAAAGGACCCACACATGTAGCCCTTTTGCAAGTGTAAATCAGTGGGAGCTTTGAATGCGATCTGTATTCTTGCTTCATTTTAATGCACGTAAATATCTCTGCAGATAATGATGGGTGAAGGCTGGAAAGTTGGCTGCTCTAACCAAGGTGACCTCAGTCTGGCAAGAAAAGTGAAGGTAAGATTTGCTTCAGTGCTTTTCAAGGTAGGAATTATAAGCAGAACACATCTAATCTCTGTCTCATGCACTGATTTACAAATTATTTTACTTGGGGTGGGGAAAGTGTCTGGAAACACAGTGTTTGCTTCCACAATCATTCTGAGGGAAGGAAGAACTGTAGCAGCACCATCTAACCAGTTTTTTTCTGTTAACAAGTTTATACCTTTAATATGATATAAGAGTGTGCTCTTTGTAAAGGCTTAAATTGCAAGGGGCTGGTTGGAGGGATTGGTCTTGAACTGGATGAGATGATTAAACCTTCTGCATCTCTAATTTCTCTGTGGTTCTGTGCTGTAAGCTCAGTGCAATATGGGCCAACTCTCCAACTCAGCAATGCTACTTCAAAGGAGCATAGTACAGCTGTGCTTCGTGTTTGCTCTGGTTTCCAGTTCACTTCCAGGTGTAGTTCAAGATGCTCATTTTGACCTACAAATCTCATTCTGGATTGTGTCTCCTCCCTTCTTTTAACCTAAGACCTGAGGTCAGTTGAGATGCTCTACCTGACAATCCCTGAATATGTCTGCGAGTTGGGAGAAAGGCATTCCCAATGGACAGTTTCTACTATGAAAGTTACTCCCCACTTTGCTCCTACTGAGCTCAGATTCATCGACCTTCATCCCATGTTGCCAGGGCAATCCATTTTTCCAGGCTTTTTCTAAGGAGCTTGGTTGAGTGGAATGGGTGGGGAAGGTCTCAGTTTTTTAGCATGAGGTTGAGTCATTTTGAGATTTTTTTGTAATGTGTGTGTAACGACTAGACTGTTCATATGTTCAGAGTTGCAGATAGACACATTGTTTATTAGCATAGCATAGTTTTCTATATCTCCCCTCTAAGAAAAGCAAGTTCCAAGCCCAAGGAGGAAAAGTTTCCTGTCATTTATCTTGTATATTGTGACAAAGTTCCTCCTCTATCTTGGTGGGTCCTGCGCTTATTGGCGGATTTTCTTGCCTCAGAGATTCACCATGTGGGTTGGGGAACAGCCCAGAGACCTTCCCCTCTGGAAGAACCCACAGTCCAGGTCAATTGGGAGGTTTGGGGGGAACCTGGGCCTGCCCTCTACTCCGGGTTCCAGCCCAGGGCCCTGTGGACTGCAGCTGTCTAGAGTGCCTCCTGTAACAGCTGCATGACAGCTACAACTCCCTGGGCTACTTCCCCATGGCCTCCTCCAAACACCTTCCTTAGTCTCACCACAGGACCTTCCTCCTGGTGTCTGATAACACTTGTGCTTCTCAGTCCTCCAGCAGCACACCCTCTCCCTCTCAGCTCCTTGCACCTCTTGCTCCCAGTTCCTCACACTCACACCACAAACTGAAGTGAGCTCCTTTTTAAAGCCCAGGTGCCCTCATTAGCCTGCCTTAATTGATTCTAGCAGTTTCTTCTTAATTGTCTCCAGGTGTCCTAATTAGCCTGCCTTCCTTAACTGGTTCTAGCAGGTTCCTGATTACTCTAGTGCAGCCCCTGCTCTGGTCACTCAGGGAACAGAAAACTACTCATCCAGTGACCAGTATATTTGCCCTCTACCAGACTCCTGTACCCCACTGGTCTGTGTCTGTCACAATATGTTACATATTTAATCAGTGAACTCATTTTATCATTTATAGATGCTTAGGAGGGAATTCTATTTTGAATGGTTAAGAAGGTCTCAAATGGGGCAGAGGACTTTTTCTGGCCCTCTACACCCATCAGTACAGAGGGTGAACTTAGTGAGTGAAATTTTGTCAGGTTTGAATATTTATAAAGTTGTGCCTGACCCTTATGTAGGCAACACTGGTGGGGAGAATCTTTGTTCCCCCTCCCACTATGCACCCATGGAGAATTTTAATGATAAAGCAATATTCTTACAAAGCACTTTAAATACGCCTCAGACATTTTTAAATGACCATTGTTGAGGCTAAAAAAAATAACAAAAAAAATCCTGATTTAAGTCTGAAAAACATTCAAGTAAGTTGTTTCTTTGCTTTTTTCACTTCAGCCAGCTTGAACAATGAAACTATAATGGTCAGTTTCTCTTTTGTTTAGAGTCAGTTTCACTTTCTGGGTCTCATGCAGTGGATTCCCAAGACTGCAGAGTAACATTTGTCTCTTACTCCATTTACAAAGAAAAATGTTTTTACATTCTTGTAAGTTATGAAAATATTGCTATTCAAATTAGGCATACTAGAATTTATGAAATCTTTTTTTCTTCTCCCCAAAACCTAAAGTTGATACTAAACTATTTGTCAGTGTTTCTTTAACTACTTTTAAAAATACAGAAAGTATACCAAACATTTCTTTCTTTCAAATAATAATAATGATAATTTTAATAAACTTTCAAACTCCTGTAAAAGCTACAAAGGGAATGGAGAAACTGATGTCTACAGTCATAATTTTTGCTTTGCTCAAAGTTGTAGTGAGAACAATGGAAAGAATAGACTTAATTTTATTTGTTCAATCTTTTGGTTTTGGGTCTTTTCACAGGTGGACAATTACTTGGAGTTGGAAGATTTTGACACAGATGATGAATTCGGTCAAGGGACATATAGTGGTATGTTTCTTTTCTTTCGCTCTTGTGATTGCTCTCTGTCCCTAGCTCCAAATGTCTGGATTTTCCTTCCTCTTTAGATTCTGAATCAGGCTGTGGTTAGGAAAAAATAACTCATGCCTTCACTCTGGAAGTAAGTAACAACCTAAGATTTATTATTCTGGCTACTGGTGAATGGTATTTTTTTATAACTGTTCCTGAATTTTTGTCCACACTTTTATTTTGTCCAGAAATCATTCTGATTTTTGCTAAATTTCTCAGCAAGGCTACCAAGAGATGCAGAATCCTGAAGTTCTGTATGTTTTTACTGTGGAAAAACAATTTCACTCAAATGTGGACCCATGTTCACTATAAATATTTTGTTATAGTGTTAACATTTCACAAAGTTGGACCCATTTTGAATGTGTAGAGACATGCCCCACAAAATTGCAAATATTTCATTGCAGATATTTCATACACCTATAGTAATTTTAACCCCCTCCCCTCAAAAAAAATCCTACAGGTGCAATTCTGCCAGAGTCTATCCTAGATACTTGTGTGTCCCCCACCACCCGCCATTACCACTGTGCTTCAGAGCACCTTACACAGTCTTTAACATACAGTATTTATCCTCACAACACACCTGTGAGATAGGAAAGTGCAGATGGGAAACTGAGGCACAGATAGACTACGCAGCAATTAAACACTTGTGGCTGGCCCAGGCCAGCTGACTCAGGCTCATGTGGCTGTAAAATTGCTGTGTATAGATGTTAAGGTTTGGGCTGGAGCCTGAGTTCTGGGGCCACAAGAGGGAGGAGGGTTGCAGAGCCCAGACTCCATCCCAAGCCCGAACATCAAAAATTGTTTAGCCCTGTAAGCCTGAGTCAGCTGACCCCAAGCCAGCTGTGTCTATCCAACGGCTCTTTTATTCCAGCGTAGGGGTACCTTACTTATCTTGCCTAAGATCACACAAAGAATCTGTGGCAGAGTATGGAATTGAATGGAGGGTTCTGAGTCCACAGTGAGTGCTCTAACTGCTTGTCTACCCTTCACTTCTCTGTGTGTACAGAACTTCCATTGAAGCCAGAGGGCCTGCAGGAGAATATTCAAAGTCTGGCTTTAATTCGCAGAAGAAAGCAAATAGAGAGTTAATGTTTCGTCCTTCACCCCTGGCATTTCAGAACACAGGCTATGAGATTGCACTCCTATATTAGGCCCGGAGAGCAAAGGTTTCTATTCAGTGTGATGGTCTTTAGTTTCCTCATTTTCCCCTTTATAGATTTCCAGGACTCAGGTCTGAATACACCTCTCAAATTCTAAGTATAGCTGTTAAAGAATTAAGGGTTCCATAGGTGCAGTGAGTTTACTCTCTAGGCTGCCTTTTGACTGGAAACCTGAATTCAGATCTGGTTTATATCACTAGTAAAATGAATTAAGTGCTCTTAATCTAATCCATAGTGAACACCTGTCCTTATTTCAGAACAGGTGACAAGGCGATAGGTCTGAAATAATTGGCAGTAAGGCTGTTGATTAATCGCAGTTAACTCACGCAATTAACTCAAAAAAATTAATCGCACTGTTAAACAATAGAATACTAATTGAAATGTATTAAATATTTTGGGATGTTCTTCTACATTTTCAAATATATTGATTTCTATTACAACACAGAATACAAAGTGTACAGTGCTCACTTTATATTATTATTTTTTATTACAAATATTTGCACTGTAAATATGATAAAAGAAATAGTATTTATCAATTCATCTCATACAAGTACTGTAGTGCAATCTCTTTATCGTGAAAGTGGAACTTACAAATATAGATTTTTTTTGTTACATAACTGCACTCAAAAACAAAACAATGTAAAATTTTAGAGCCTACAAATCCACTCAGTCCTACTTCTTATTCAGCCAATCGCTAAAACAAACGTGTTTATTTACATTTATGGGAGTTACTGCTGCCTGTGTCTTATTTACAATGTCATCTAAAAGTGAGAACAGGCTTTCACATGGAACTTTTGTAGCTGGCGTTGCAAGGTATGCCCTTTCCATGCTTCGGCCACCATTCCAGAGGACATGCTTCCATGCTGATGATGCTTGTTAAAAAAATAATGTGTTAATTAAATTTGTGACTGAACTCCTTGGGGGAGGATTGTATGTCTCCTGTTCTGTTTTACCTGCATTCTGCCATATATTTCATGTTATAGCAGTCTCAGATGATGACCTAGCACGTTTGTTTTAAAAACACTTTCACTGCAGATTTGACAAAACATAAAGAAGGTACCAATGTGAGATTTCTAAAAATAGCTACAGCACTTGACCCAAGGTTTAAGAATCTGAAGTGCCGTCCAAAATCTGAGAGGGATGAGGTGTGGAGCATGCTTTCAGAAGTCTTAAAAGAGCAACGCTCAGATGCGGAAACTACAGAAAAACCACCAAAAAGAAAATCAACCTTCTGCTGGGGGCATCTGACTCATATGATGAAAATGACCATGTGTCGGTCTGCTCTGCTTTGGATCGTTATCAAGCAGAACCCATCATCAGCATGGACATGTGTCCTCTGGAATCGTGGTTGAAGCATGAAGGGACATATGAATCTTTAGTGCATCTGGCATGTAAATACCTTGCAACGCTGGCTACAATAGTGCCATCTGAATGCCTCTTCTCACTTTAAGGTGATGTTGTAAACAAGAAGTGGGCAGCTTTATCTCCTGCAAATTTTAACCAAACTTGTTTGTCTGAGCGATTGGCTGAAGTAGGAATGGGTGGACTTGTAGACTCTAAAGTTTTACATTGTTTTATTTTTGAATGCAGTTATTTTTTTGTACATAATTCTACATTTGTAAGTTCAACTTTCATGATAAAGAGATCACACTACAGTACTTGTATTAGGTGAATTGAAAAATACTATTTCTTTTGTTTTTTACAGTGCAAATATTTGTAATAAAAAATAAATATAAAGTGAGCACTGTACACTTTGTATTCTGTGTTGTAATTGAAATCAATACATTTGAAAATGTAGAAAACATCCAAAATATTTAAGTAAATGGTAGTCCATTATTGCTTAACAGCGCTATTAATCGCACGATTAATCGCGATTAATTTTTTTAATCGCTTGACAGCCCTAATTGGCAGTTCTCACTCATGGCAGGTCCAGCACTAGAATAGCACAGATGATGGTCAGGAGTGAAGAGCACTGGCAAAGGTGTCTAATAGCTTACACTGCAGCTTTCCACACTTGCCTAGCTGTATGATGCACTATCAGTCATTTTTGTGAGCATTAATATTAATCACATACATTTAAAAACACCAAGTTAAACAGATTGCATTTAAAGAGGTTGAAAACTACAAAAATGATCATCTGCTTGCCTTGCCTAAATATAGATTTATGGTAGGAATGCAAACCATATTGGATTAATCTGGCAATTGCTGCTTTTATGGGTGATTATAAAATAATCGTAATGTTCTACCTTCACTACTGCAGATTATCACTGAGCTAAGTACTATCCTTTTACGTGACACTTGATTTGGTTTGCAATAGCTTCTCTCCTCAGCTTGTCCCATGAGAAAACCTTCATTGCACAATACCCCTTAATGCAGGAGTAATCCTCATCAACTCTCAACAATCTACAGTGTACATAACAACACTAAGGGTTTATATAGTGTATTATAGCCTTGAAAGCGCCACACAGATATGAACTAATTCCTCATAATCCCCTGTGAATAAGGTAAATAGCATCCAAAGTTACAGATGGGGAAACCGAGGCATGGGAGTTAGCTTTATATTGCCTATGGCAACAGTGGAGACAGTTGCAAAGCTGAGATAGAATTCAGGAGTTCTGGGCTCCTGGTCCAGTGCTCCGACTACTAGACCTCACTGACTGGTTTGTATCTTGTATGGTAAAACCATCGTAATAAGCCTAATGAGAATGAAGGTACTGTCCTCTATACTGTAGAATACACACCTGTAAAAAGTGTAAATCTTAAAAAAAATATTAATGAACACAAGCATAATTGACCACAGGTGTTAAAATGTCCCAGTTAAACTAATATTTTTTTAGGGTGTGACCTGGAGGAAATCACTCTCTTTTCTTTCCTTTTTTAAATTCTGTGTCCAACTAACCTGTCCTTTCAGGGCTGGGTGTAGCTGCTGCTTATGAACAAAAGAATTCCTAGAAATACAATGGCCTCTATAAATCAGCTGGCCAATATACAAATAAACTGTAGTTATTTTAGTTAGACAGCAGTCTTGCAACTGAAAGCCTGGAACTAGTCTTTGAATTGTGGGAATTTGGAATAATAACTCTAGTTAGCCATGCAAATCTGATTCTCCAAACTATAGCTTTAACCCACTGTGTGCAGACAGCACGTGCATGGAGGGCCATTTAATCTCTCTCTGTCTCATTAAATTTAATCTCTGACTGTAAGTAGCTTAAGGCAACAATACAAAGGATCAGGAATTCTCATGGGACATGGAGAAATACCTGGTTTCCACACTGTGGCAGTATGATTCATTTTACATCTAACCTTTTTCAAGAGTGTTGACAAATCATTTTCTGCACTGCTCCAAGAATGGCTCAATTACTGGGTCTTCTCTAAGTAAAATGTAAACTAAAAAAAAATCCTATATGCATAACATCTATAAAAATCTCAAAATGTGTTAAGGACACAAGTACATATAAATGCACAATGATTCTGAGTGCTGGGTGAGGGGAACAGCATCAGAAATAATACCACTTAGCACTTATTTTGCACTTTTCATCTGTAGATCTCAAATGCTTAATCATTTCCCCCATTTTACCGATGGGGAAATTGAAGCACAAAGAGGTGCTTGAGAGATTTGTCCAAAGTCACTAGCAGAGTTGCAAACAGAACCCTCCTGACTTCCAGTTTTAGGGCCTTTTCATGGACCTACCATCTCCCAGTTAAACTTAAGCTTTCAATATATAACCTCCTGATTTTTAGGGGTTCATAACTTCATGGTAAAAATGCCCTCCAAATACGAGCTCATTGGGACTTGGCATT